CTAACCGATGATTTCTTTTTAACTAAGAAAATTAGGGAAGTAGAAAATATGCATTAAGCCTTATACCTAAATGAATCTCATTGGCATTGGTGGTGGAGAGGAAGAAATCTGTAATTCACAAATATTTAACTACTTTTATGGGAAACACCTGTAATTGCTCATATATTGATATCAGCATATTTCGTAATTCCCAGGGCTAAGATATAAACTATAGAGTTCTTTGTTTTTCTTAAGATTTTATCAGCTATTTTTCTTTATAGGATTTATTGACAGTTCTTTACTTTCAACATATGAAAAATATTATGCCACTTTCTTTGGACCTCCTTGATTTCAGATGAAAAATTCTGTCATTGGAATTGGTGTTTTCTTATAGGTAATGTGTCCTTTCTTCCCAGCTGCTTTAAAGGTTTTTTTCTTTGTTGTTAGTTTTCAGCAGTTTAATTATGATGTGCCTGATTGCATAAATTTCTTTGAGTTTTTCATATTTGGAGTTATCAAAACTTCTTGAACTGTAGGTTTGTCTTATACCAAATTTGGAAAGTGTTCCACTATTATAATTTCTCAGTACCACTTTCTTCTCTACGTGACTATGAGATACGAATGTTAGATCTTTTGTTATGTCCTATAGGACATGAGGCACTGTTCTTTTCATTTTTATTCCAGTCTGTATTTTTCTCTGTTGTTTAGATTGGGTAATTCCTGTTGTTCTACTTCAGTTTAAAGTTGACTGGTTCTTTCCTCTGTTATATTCATTCTGATATTGAGACCACCCAGTGAGTTTTTATTTGGTTATTGTATTTTTCATTTCTGTAAGTTCCATTTGGTTCTTTTCTTTTCTTTTTCTTTTAAAAATGACCAGTAAGGGGATCTTAACCCTTGGCTTGGTGTTGTCAGCACCACGCTCTCCCAAGTGAGCTAACCAGCCATCCCTATATAGGATCCGAACCTGTGGCCTTGGTATTATAAGCACCACATTCTCCCACGTGAGCCACGAGCTGGATTTCGTTTGGTTCTTTTCTAAGTCTTCTATTTCTTGGGTGAAATTTTTCTAGTTTGTCATTTTTTTTTTTTTTTTTAAGATGACTGGTAAGGGGATCGTGACCCTTGACTTGGTGTTGTCAGCACCACGCTCTCCCAAGTGAGCCACAGGCCGGCCTCTAGTTTGTCATTTTTTTTTTTTTTTAAGATGACTGGTAAGGGGATCGTGACCCTTGACTTGGTGTTGTCAGCACCACGCTCTCCCAAGTGAGCCACAGGCCGGCCTCTAGTTTGTCATTTTTTTTTTTTTTTAAGATGACTGGTAAGGGGATCGTGACCCTTGACTTGGTGTTGTCAGCACCACGCTCTCCCAAGTGAGCCACAGGCCGGCCTCTAGTTTGTCATTTTTTTTTTTTTTTAAGATGACTGGTAAGGGGATCGTGACCCTTGACTTGGTGTTGTCAGCACCACGCTCACCCAGTGAGCAAACTGGCCATCCCTATATGGGATCCGAACCCGTGGCCTTGGTGTTATCAGCACCGTACTCTCCCAAGTGAGCCACAGGCCGGCCTCTAGTTTGTCATTTTTTTTTGGTGGCTCTCTGGTACAGGCAACTGAACCCTTGATCTTGGTGTTCAAAGGCTACATTCTAACCAACTGAGCTAACCAGCCAGCCTATTTTGTCATTTGTTTCAAGAGTATACCTAATTGCTTGTTGAAGCATGATGGTTGGGCTGGCTGGTTTGCTCAGTTGCTTAGAACATGGTGCTGATAACACCAAGGTTCAGGGTTAGATCCCTGTACTAGCCAGCTGCCAAAAAAAAAAGAAAAAGTTTTCTTTCTGTCAGGGTACAAGTCTTAACACTTTTCGTTAAATTTTTTCCTTAGTATTTTGTTCTTTTGATGCTGTTGTAAATGAAATGGTTCTTAATTTCATTTTTGGATTTTTACTTACTGCTAGTATATAAAAATACAATTGAATTTCTTATTTTGATTTTGCATTTTGCAACCATACTAAACTCATCTAATAGTTCTGATGGTTTTTTAGTGATTTATTAGGATTTTATATGTACAAGATCATGTCTTCTCAAATCATATTTTCTTCTATCCAACCTGAATACCTTTTAGTTTATTTTTATTTTTCTTGTCTACTTGCTTTGGCTAGAAGCTTTTGTACAATTCTGAATAGAAATGGTGAAAGTGATTATTTTGTCTTGTTTATGATCTTCAGGGTAATCATTAAATGTGAAATTAGTTATGCAGTTTTTAGATGTCCTTTATCAGGTTGATAATGTTTTCTTCTATTTCTAGTTTATTCAGTGAATTTATCACAAAAGGGTGTTGGGTTTCATCAGATGCTTTTTCTGTGCCTGTTGATATGATCATGTGTGTTTTTTGTCATTTATTCTGTTAATATGGTATATGTGATTGATTTTCATGTGTTGAACCAACCTTGCATTCCTAGGATAGATCACCCTTGCTCATGAAGTGTAATCATTATATATGTTGCTGGATTTGTTTTCCTTGTATTTTGCTGAGGATTTTTGCATTTATATTTATAAATATCAGTCTGTAGTGTATTTGTGTAGTATCTTTTTTTGGTTTTGTTTGGTTTTGGAATTTAAAACTGGCCTCATATAATGAGTTTAGAAGTGTTTCCTCCTCTTCTATATTTTGGAACACCTTGTTAAGGATCAGTATTAATTCTTCTTTAACATTTGGTAGAACTCACCAGTTAAGCCATCTGGTCCTGGGCTTTTTTTTTTTTCCCCTTTTTTGGTGACTGGCCAGTACAGGGATTTGAACCCTTGACCTTGGTGTTACCAGCACCACACTCTCCCAAGTGAGCTGATCAGCTAGCACTATACTTGTTATGTCTTCTTGATGGCGATGGATTTGCCTTCCTGTAATTATAAAATGTACTTTTTTGGTCTCTAGTAACAATTTTTGTCTTAAAGTGCATTGTATCTGATATTGTATTACCACTTTGGAGACTTTTGGTTGCTGTTTGCTTGATATATGTTTTTCCCTCCTTTTGCTTTCATCCTATTTAGTCATAGAATCTAAAGTGTGTCTTGTAAAAAGCCTGTATTTGGATCATGTTTTTCACTTGGCGGGGGGGAGGTCTATTCCCAGTCCCTGTTAGTTGAGAGTGTTTAATCCATTTACGTTTAATGTAATTACTAGTACATTTAGTGTTTACATCTACCATTTTGCTACTTGTTAAATATTTCTAGTGAACATATTATATATATTTATATATATCTAATATATACATATCTTATTTATTTATTTGTTTTCGCAGCTAGCTGGTAAGGAGATCCAAACTCTTGACCATGGTGTTATCTAGCTTATATTTTTAATATATATTTTTTAATGTATGCTTTTAGTATATTTTTGTTAAATATTTCTAGTATATATTTTAGTTGTTTCTTTTACTATTTTTTTTTATTTTCTTGGTGATTACAATTAATAATTGAAAACAATATATTTTGGAGTAATACCAACTTAACTTCCACAGTATACAAAAACTTTACTAACAGAGTTCTGTTTATTTCCCCCTCCTTGTGTCTTATTGTCACCTCAGTTACATCTTTTACATTATAAGTTCATCAACAGTTTTGTAATTATTGCTTTACACAATTTTCTTTCAATTTAAATAGGAAGAGTTTCTTAATATGGATGTAAGAAATCCATATTTCTGACTAGTGTCCTTTTATTTTAGCTCTAAGGACTCCCTTTACTATTTCTCATAGGACAGTTCTCTAGTGATGAATTCTCTCAGTTTTTGTTTACTGGGAATGTCTTAATTTCTCCTTTATTTTTGAAGGATAGTTTTGCTGGATATAAGTTGCTTGGTTGATAGTCTTTTTCATTTAATGCTGGGAGTATATCATCCCACTGCCTTCTGGGCCTGGTTTTTGATGAGAAGTCAGCTGTTTATCTTACAGAAGATTTTGTATCTGAGGAGTCACTTTTCTCTTGCTGCCTTCAGGATCCTCTGTTTGTCTCTGGCCTTTTACAGTTTGACTATGATGTATCTAGGTGGAAATCTCTGAATTTTTCTTCCTCGGTGTTTTTTGAGTTCCTTGGATGTATAGATTAGTAGATTAGTATTTTTCATTGGATTTGGAAAGTTTTCAGTCATTATTTGTGTAATTATTTATTATTTTTTCCCTCTTTCTCTCCTCTTTTTTTTTTTTTTTTTTTCGTGTGTGTGTGTGTGTGACTGGTAAGGGGATCTGAATCCCTGACCCTGGGATTATAACACTGTGCCGTAACCTAACCAACTTAACTAACTGGCCAGCCCCTGTCTCTCCTCTTCTTTTGGGACTTCTGTTATATGTATGTTTCCTGATGATGCCCTACAGGTCTAAGGTATGTTCATTTTTTTCATTCTTTTCTCTTTCTGTTCTTCAGACTGGATAATTGATCTATGTTTAAGTTTGCTGATTCTTTCTTCTGCCAGTTTAAATCTGCTATTGGTCCCCTTTAGTGAATTTTTCATTTCCATTACTGTACTTTTCAACTCCAGAATTTCCATTTGACTTTTTTTCTGATTCTGTTTCCTTATTGATAGAGATTTAGTCTTTATTTGGTGAGAAATTATCCTCATAATTTCCTTTAATTCTTTAGATATGGTCTCATTTAGTTCTTTGAACATATTTACAATAGCTGATTTAAAGTCTTTGTCTAGTAAGTTAAAAATCTGGGCTTCCTCAGGGATAGTTGTATTGACTGCCTTTTCCCCCCACTGTATATGGGCCATACTTTCCTATCTCTTTGTGTGTCTTATTTTTTTGTTGAAAAGTGGGTATTTAAAATAATATAAAGTGACTACTCTGGAAATCAGACCCCCTTCCTCCCAAGGTTTGTTGCTGCTGGTTGTCTTGTGACTTTCTGGAATTAACTCTGTAAAGTCTGTATTCTTTGTCTTGTGTAACCACTGAAGTGTTTCCTTGGCTAGCTTAGTGGTCTGCTGATAATTGGACAGATTTTTTTATTTTCTTTTTTCTTTTGGCAGCTGGCTGGCCTGGGGAGAGATTTCTTCAAATGTCTTCAACCAGTAAGTCTCCCAGCCTTTACTGAGGGGCTGTGTATGTGTGGTGGCACTTCTTCAGTGTACCAGCAGTTTATAGCTGTGCCTTAGCCTTCATTTCCTCCTTGCACAGAATATTAAGATCAGCCATCAGTGAGAGATTAGGGCTTCCAGTCTTTCCTGAGCATGTGCATGCCTTCTAGATTCTTAGAAATATGTTATGTTGGAGCTTTTTTAAGCCCTCTGTAGACACCTCATTCCCCTGTTTTTTCTTTTAAGTTTTTGATCAGTGTCTTGCTTGCCCCAAATGTTACTGCCATTGCAGGCAGCTGTAACACTAGTCTGTGATTATTTTTAACAAACACCCTGGTGATAGGACTGTTTACATTGAGGGAGTTCTTACTCAGATCAAGTAAAGATAAGCCCTGAGAATGGAGCTTTTCCATTGAGCTATTAGACAGGTCAGATAGTGACAGTTCTTTGAGGATGCTGTTTCGGGGGAAGCTCCTAATCTGTTCTGCCTTTTTAAGTAGCTACTGAGCTGCTGGTGTTCACAGCTATCATGTTTGTGAAGCTGTTGATTTTCAAGGCCTCCTCAGAGTCCAGGAGAAGAGAATGGGCAAATTAAATGCCACAAATCTTACTCTGCTTACTGAGAGTTAGCCATTTTTCTTGTTTAAACATTCCTTAGGTTCTTATAAGTCTTTAGATAATTTTCAGAGTTTTGAAAACCTTGATTTTCACCATTTTTGCTAGTGTCCTTGTTGCATTTATGGAAGAGCTGACTTTGGGAGGTCCTTACTGTGCCAATCTGGAAGTGCCTCCTTTTGCCTTTTCTTACATTTATGTAGTATAAGGGATTCATGCATTACATGAATTCCTTGCTTTATATTTTATCTGGTATTCATGTGTCCACAGCATACAAGATGATGAATGGGTTTTAATTTGTGCTTTAAAGGAGCTTATAGTGTCATGGGGTAAACTAACCACAATATAGTGCTATTAGTGTGCAAACCTAAAATGCTTTTGCCAAGTGCTTTGAGGTTACAGAAGAGGGAACAATTGATTTCAGGAGGGAGGATGGGAAAAGAGCAGTCAGGGAAGGGTTCACCAAGGAGGTGTGTATAAAAGGGAGAAGGGGCATAATACAGGAGGCAGCAGCGTGAGCAGAGGCCGGATATGGAAGTGCCTGGTGTGTATGGGAGTGGTGTGAAGGAGGCAGGCTGCATGGGAGGAGGGCCAGTGGTGAGGGTGGAGGGTGAGCAGGAGCCTGTGTATGAAAGGTGCCATAGGCCCCTGGTCTTTATTTACTTATTTATTTTATTTTATTTTGCTTTTAATGCATAAAGAATTCTTTGAAATGAATTAGAAAAACCTTAGCAAAAATTTGGTGAAGGACATGAGCAGACAAGTCACACACCACAAAGAAATACACATGGCTAATAAATACATTCTAAGATATTCTTGCAGGTGGGGGCAGGGTGGCCGACGGCTCCGTCTTAGGGCCCCCCAGTCTTAGGGCCACTCAGAGTGCTCTGTTGCTTACCTGGATGTGGGTGGGGGTGGGGCGGCCCACACTTCTGTCTCAGGACCCTGGGCCTGCTTTGTTATTTGCATGGATGTAGGTGGGGGCACGGTGGCTTGGCCACCTGTCTGGCCCTTTTTCTTTAAAAGTCCTTTTACATGTTACCCACTTGATTGTCACAGCAGCACTGGGAAAGATAACTTGGAGGTGTTCCTTTTCTTTTGCATTTTCTTCCCAGTCTTTTCATAATTTCTGTTCTAGATACTTGTGGAAAAGAGTTTGATTTTCATAATCCCTATTTGATGGAGGAGAGAACTGATGCTCAGTGTTTTATCTAGTGCCATATGACTAAGAAAAAACTGATTCCAGACTAGAGCCAAAGTCTTCTCACTCTAATATGTTAGGCCTCTTTTACATTAATTCATCTTCTCTTCTCCTTTTCCTATTCCAATTACTTTTAATTCTGAAAAGTTATTAGTTGGTAGAAAAATGGCGTGAACTTGAGTTACTGAATGAGAGAATATGATTTGGGAAAATTTGCTTTCTTTGTGTTCTTTGTCATGGGTGGTTTAAACAGATTATAAACATGAGCTTGAAGAATCTAGAAGAGGAATAGATTATCCAACAGTGACCTTCTGATTTATACGTCTGAGAAGGTTAGAACTTGGTAACTTAAACTTTTTATTTTGTTTTATTTCATTTTAACTCTTTATTATGAAAAATTTCAAACATCTGTAAAAAGAGAGACAATTATATTGAGCTCTCAAGTACCCATCACCCAGCTTCAACAGTTAACTCAGAGAGCAACCTCATTGTATGTATAACCCCCATACACACACCTGCCACTGGATATTTTTGAAGCAAATCCCAGACATCATTTCATTTAACTTGAACCTTAAAAACGTTATGCTTGAGTTTAACTTGTGCTCTTGTCTCCATTTGTGTCCTAGGCAGTAGGTTCAGTTCTTAGTATTTGACCAGCTCTTTTCCGTCCTGACCATGGAGTTTATTGAAGTACACTGATCCATTAAGAAGATGAGTCCCAGCTGACTTCCAAAGATTGTCAGCTGTGTATACCGTATTCTTCTTGCCATTTGCTACGTGTTTTCAATGGGTTTAGTACCAGCCCCCAGTGTGCAGGTAGGAAAAGGGGTTCCCATGTTAGAGCTCTAACCATGAACTGACATAAAGATGGGTCTTGGAACATTGAGTTCATTTGGTTCAGATTTGAAGTTTCTGCCAAATGGCAAAGCTGTCATTCAAAATTAACCTCTGGACACTTATTCTTTGGCAAGTTCAAGCATGTGATACAATTACCTTTCCTTTTGCTAACAAGCTAGAAGTAAATGGGGAAACCAGCTGTAGACTGAACTTTAGACAGCAGGCAAAGTGGCATTGTCTGTTGCTATTTGCTACATTGGTTGGCATCATGAATGGGCATGGGAAAAAACAAGCTAATGATTAATAAAGGAAAGAAAGTTTTTAGGGGAATTGTATATTCCTGTAGTTTATCTTTTGCTAGGATATTTCCCCGGCATCTCTTTGGACACTTCCCTGATTTTAACAACAAGGTGTGGTGAATGTGCTCCTGAGTGTATGTGTCTGGGCCTGTGTGTGCCCTGATTGTGGGGCATGGCCTTGTTGACTGCTGACCGCTATACCCCTACTTTTGTTGACTGATGCTGTTTTTGATTAGCAATGTTACTTTAAATTGGCAAATATCTAAGTAGAGAAGTAAAATGTCAGTACTTCTTTAACTTACTGTTATTCAGAAATAACAGTAAGTGTTATTTTCTGGGAGTCTCTTTTATTTGGTCTGCTGGGAAAGAGCTGTCTTATTGATAGTGATTTCTCAGATATGTTTATTGCAGTGTTGCAATGCTTTTTCTTTTTTTTGGAAACAAAAATGAGACTAACATTCTAGTGTTCCTTTCTAGCTCAGCCTCAGCTCTGTAAATGTCCCATTTGAGAAAATATTGATACTGCTTGTCTGAAAAATACAGTGAAATGGAGTTTAAGGTAGTGGAAAGAGGTTCAAGAATTTGAGAAGAATCAGTATCCAGTTGTGAGTAGAGACCTCAGGCTTCCCAGTTTGGTTAGTTAACATGCTTTTTGAAGGCTCAATATACACTGTGAGCTGGTGCTCTGCTAAGCATGCTATGGTAGAGGATGGGACATAGACAAAGTCTCTAGGCTTCAGGCACTTGAAATCTTTTGAAGTTAGTAAGATATACAAGGTAAAATGAAAAGTGACATTTGAAGAATAGGTTAGATTTAGAGAAGTGATGAGGAGAATGTGCTACCTGAACCTCAATTTGTATGTCTATAAAATGAGACCACTGGACTGAGAGGATAAAGGTCCCTTTTAGCACTGATGCTCTATGGTTCTGTGATTCTCCAAGTCAAGAAACATCCAAAGAGAGAAACTTCACAAGTTTAGTGAAAAGTAATGAGAATATTTTTGGAGAAGCCAAAATCCCTTTCTTTTCCTTTTTAGTATTCCTTTTTTTGGTGGCTAGTCAGTACGGTGATCCAAACCCTAGACTTTGGTGTTATCAGCGTCACAGTCTAACTAACTGAGCTAACCAGCAAGGCCTAGAGTTAATATTTTTTTTTAATTAATTAATTTTGGGGGTCGCTGGCCGGTATGGAAATCTCAACCCTAGACCTTGGTGTTATCAGCAACCAACTGAGCTAACCGGCCAGCCTTATCTTTATGTTTTAAAAGGATCCCTCTGGCTGCTAATTTGAGAATAGACTCCAGGAGGGGAGGAGTAGAAGCAAGAACACCTGTCAGTAATCCTGGTGAGAGATGCTGGCAGCAGTAGTGGATGTGTTGACAAATGGTCATATTCTGACTGTGTTTTAGAGGTAGAGTCAATAGAGTGTTTTGTTAGATTTGGATGTAAGGTATGAGAAAGAGATGAATCAAATATGTATTAAATACTTTAAAATCAAGCACACCCTACCCTCTGTGACCTAGAAATTTCTCTTCTAAAAATTGAGTTTAAGAAAATAATCAGGTGTGCAAAGATGTTTGTACATAGAAGAATATTTATCACAGTGTTGTTTATAATAATGAAAAAAAATTTATTTTTAGTATTATGGTTGAAGTGATATAATAATGAAAAATTTAAAACAAGTAAACAATAGAGGATTGGCCAAATAAATGTCATTAGGTCCTTTCAGTGAAGTATTATGTACCCATTAAAATGATTTATAAGTTTTTTTTTTTTTGTCTTTTTCGTGACCAGTAAGGGGATCGCAACTCTTGGCCTGGTGTCGCCCACACCGCGCTCAGCCAGTGAGTGCACCGGCCACTCCGATATAGGATCCGAACCCGCGGCGGGAGCATCGCTGTGCTCCCAGCGCCACACTCTCCAGAGTGCGCCACGGGGTCGGCCCTATAAGTTTGTTTTTAATCAAGGAAATGCATCAAAAATATATTTCAATTTTTAGTCTTTTTATGTATTTTACTGGAATTTGGAGTATTTTAGTGGAG